AAATGCACTGTAACGATTTGATATACATAAATGAGACGAAAAGGTAATTAGAAAATTTGTTACTGAAAACGTAGAATTTGTTTGATGAAAAAAAGCTTTTTAAACAAGACCTTAGTGTATATATACAATTACAAATACTATCCTGTGAGATATGCATACAAACAAAACCCAAATACGTACTGATCAAAAGTTAAATCCCAAAAATAAGTACCAAAAGCTTAACCATGTATCATTGGTATTTAAGACAAAACAAACGAATTTCCTATCATGCGTGCAAACCACAATCAAAAAATTGTCTGCGTATATCCGATAACCCTCGAATTAACTTTTCCGCAAGAGAAATAAGAATTAAACAAAAGAGACCCAAAACTGTCATAGAGAAACAAGCCCCGCACTGAAATCTGTCGTGCTTACCAAAGCAAGGTAAGACAAAACTCTGAAATGAAGTTGCAAAATAAGGCTAATTATACTACACGCACCAGGTAGGGGAAAAGAAAAGAAGATAATACCATAGAACGAGGGAACGGCTGCATAAAATGATAAAAATGGTAAAGATGAGAAACATTCTTAACAACTGTCTAGTACAAGTCCGATGAATAGAAATAGGAAAGATTGATCTAATCATCCAACTGAAACACTTTAGAATTCTAAATCAAACTTTAGAATTCTAAATCAAATTCCACAATGTCCAAATCGAATACTTTTGCACTGTAAATCAAACTACACAATGCCCATCAGATATTAACACTTAAACAGAATCAGAATTTGAGCACCATAATTAACAAATAACATCTAAATCCCAAACTTCACTAATTCAAAGTTCATCATACCCTGATACCACCTATCAGGAATGCCTACAAGGAATAACAGTTCCAACAAGTTGTAACCCTCAAAAATCAATCACCTTCATCCTGTGGTTAAACATATACACTAGAGACCATCATACTAGCTACAGCTAGAAGAACGAATCCAATCCAAGAAATCAGAAGTAGACTACCATGATTCTTCTTTTTCTTCTCTTCTGTTTTTTTTTTCCTTTTTCTTCAGCGATCAAAAGGCCCATTGGGATCAAGCTGTTTGCACAAACCAAGGTACGTAAGATAAAGGACACGATCTTTGGCCCCCGTACGATGATTCTTGGTATGCTTGCAGAAATATTTAAGCTGCTCCAACGTACAACAACCAAGCATCTGACCCAAGAGCAAGAACAACCAATTAATGGCTTTCTTCTTTTCGGGAATGATGGGCTTAACGCAATTGTCTTGTTCACATAACTTGCAAGCTGGTAGAACCGGGTTCATCCAAACCCCAGGGGCTCTGTCATGCATGCCGCTTTTATTCTCAGCAATGAAACTCCCAACTTCAATGAACTTTTCCCTCAAATCGTACTCCATCTCGTACCGCTTTTCGCATCTTTTGCATTGGACTTCCCCGCTGATCTTGAAGATTTGTTTTGATAACAAATAGTTGAGGCTGTAGACTGAGGCGCGGCGGGTGGTGGCCCATGGGAACGGTGCAGGAACCGTTTCGCTCTTCCCTTCGTGTGGTGCTTGGGAAGGGTTTCGGCGGGGGCGAGCCGGGCGGGACTGACCAGCCGAGGCCGAGGAAGGTTCTTGACGATGAACTAGTGCTCGCAGCGTGGGGAGTGATGATGTGTCAGGGAGAAGATGAGGCGACTGCGTCTGCTGAGGCATTGGCATGGGCGGCATGTAGAGAGGGTAGGATGGCGGCGGCGGCGGCTGGGGTATGAATGGCTGATGTTGTTGCATGGAGGGGGGTGGCGGAAGTGGTGGTTGTTGGTGTATTGGGGAATGTTTTCGGGGCCTGATGGCTGCTGGGCGAAACGAAAGGGAAAGGGTTAAAAGATCATTGTCGTCATCTTCAACGAGGTGATCAGAAGAAGAGAATTTTCTTGGGATCTGAAATTCATGGTGGTTGTTGTTGTCGTTGGTTTTTCTCTTTCTGTTGATTTCTTGATTATCATTGGATATGTCTTTTTGGTTGTTCATAGTTGGACAAAAGAAGAAAAATTATATATGGTCAAAGCATAAAAGGAAGAGCAACAGCTGCTGGAGGTTTATGCAGGGTATAAAGAAATGCCAGAGTGAATCTGACGAAGGGTTCAAGACAAAAGACAAAAGACAACAGGGAGGGTTTTCAGAGATGGATGGAAATTTGTAGTTGGTTGGGAGTGTAAGAGAGAGAAGTTGTAATTTGTACTGTAACTAAAGAGATAGAGAGAGAGTAGAGAGATAAAGATAAAGACGAGCAAACAGACTATTAAACCTGCTTTCGTGAATTGAGAATTTTGTGTGTGTAATTTTATTTTGGTTAGACTTCTTTTTCGAATTCAAAATGTCCATCCGAATTCTTCATTTTTTTGGGATAATTTCAGAAACATTCCTGAGGTTTTAATATTATCACTTGGCGCCCTCGAATTTTAATTGAACATTTTGTAAAATTTGCAACTCGTTTAAAAATAATAAATAAAAACTTATGTTGGGAGATATTATATAATCTCATTCCAAATTTGCTCTTTTTCTTGTGGTCCCTTAATTGTCATAATACAACAATTTTATCTCTTAATATTTATAAACTTGGTCGATGTAACTCTTTGATGAAAAGAGACCCATTTTTTCTATCATCGGTTTGGATAAGAAATATTAAAGTATTTTAAATATTAAGTAATTTACAATACTTGTAAAAAGATAACTTTAAATATTTTTATTACATTGATAATAACTTTTTTACACTAGTTTGAAAATGTTAAAACATCACAAACATGGTTATATATAAGTTTCACATCTTGGATTTTTCTAGTTTTCAAATCATCGATTTGGGCAAAAAATTTTGAAAATTAAAAAAAAATAAACAAATTACAAATCTCCTTAAATTAGCTCAAAATATTTTACAATAAAGAAAATAATATTATTTGTGAATTGCAAAAAACCTCAAATAAACTTTCAAACATGAACTCTTTGTTTTTTCAAAACATACTACTATATTTTGTCTCATCATATTTAAATCTTCATGCCTTGTACTAAAGAGTAAGACGACAAAAGAACAAGCTTGAATTGAGATTATATTCTCTCTCTCTCTCTCAAGATATGCTTTTTTAATGTTACATTTTGAAGCATGTTGCAAATGTTACAAAAAGTTTAAAGTGAACGAAACACACGTGAGAATTTTCAAATTTCAAGAGTGGCAAGTGATATTGTCGAAAATCCCAAGAGAGGTTTTATGGAATTATGCCTCATCTTTTCCATGCCTTTCTTTTTTTTTTTTTTTGGAAATGTGTTGGGTTTTTTTTTTTTGGGGAGGGGGGGGTGTTCCAAAATTTGCAGGAATTTTGTGTTCACACTTCACGTTGTCATGCACTACAAATCTCGCAGAAAATGTCTGGGACGATGTTCGAAGAAACAAGTGTTCAATAACAATTACCCGCTGTTGGACGTGGGCATGGTCCTGCGCCACTCATATTTATTGATGAGTTGAATTGAGGATTATGCAAGGAAAAGATAAAAAAGATAGAAATGGAAACGATCAACATCAACTTCTTGTGATTATCTGGACTTAATTACATACGACAGGGTAATAATAAAGGAAATGTATGAGTCCGGCCGGGTCCTAAAACAACCATAGTCATGTTGTTTGATTATGCTGTTTGGTTTTCTCCAAGAATATTAAATGAGTGACTAAACCCCTTTGTCCTCTTATCACTTTTACACTGAGCATAATGGTGAATTCGAATTTAATATATATTAGCAAATGAGTACCATGTAATATTAGAGTAGTGTTCTTTCTCTCTCTCTCTTTTTTTTTGGATTTTATTTGCGTAGATTTCAGTTCATGTACAGGGATATCAATGAAATTAAATGGGAAGCTACCTTTGATTGAAGGGACGACCAAATCAAGACAACTTATTAATAAAAAGGTCTGTCTAACAAGTGTCCATAAAATAGAGTTTAAGCGTTAATATTTTTTTAAAAAATAATGTCATAAGTGTATATTAATTGGTGGATTATATGGTAGATTAAGTGCGTACTACTAACGAGTGTCTAATTAATTAATTACGAAGTACTCTTAAGAATTTAACCATATTAGTTGGTGGATTATTGTAACCAAACCATCATGAGTTCATAATTGCCACGGGAGTATTCCCGTTTCAGCTGTCATTCAGCCTTTAAGGAATAAAAAAATAGGACAAACGTCAACAGAATATTCAATTCATTCTTCGTTCTCTTTGATCTCATACTTTATATGGGTTTGTCGAACGATCAACAATTAAATTTTTTTAAAAAATAGACAAATGAATATGGCTACTACAATACCGGAAAAATCCGTGATCATAAAAACTCTTGGAATCCCTACATGATAGAGTACACCTAAAATTCCACAAAGATCGATTTCAATAGGAAATGCAGGGGGCAGCCGCATTTTCTTGGTTAATGTGAGAATTTATAGATGTTCATATCATTTGATAATGCACCAAAATTTTGACAACATAACATATAATATGCTTGTGCTTCGTCCGACTTTACCACTGGCCGTCAAGTTCATTGAATTTGCTGCATTGAGAAGACAATTATTTGGGCTGTCAACTTAGAAAATACATGCGGGCCTGCACATCATTCCTCCCTTGAGCTCTCGGCATTTTAAATCCACTAAACAAATGATGGGTCTCAAAGGATTGGGTCCAAGCAGCGGCATAGGTTTCGGACCCATACTAGCCCGGTAACGTGAATGTGCGTTGCGGGTATTATTATTTTTTACCTTCTTTAAAAAAAATTTTTTTTTTTTTTGGTTAGCAAATTTTTATTTTTAGGAGCGATGGAATGAGTTCCCCATTTCCTATTTTCTTTTCAATAACTGGAGCTATTTGTAGTTGGGCGGTACGTACAAAGAACAATAGAAAACGTATTCTGGGTTCGGCTTCTTTTGTGAGTTCACAGATCTCTGTTGTTTTTTTTTTCCTTTTCTTTTTTTGTTACTCTTTTTTTGTTTTGGGGCTAAACATTGAAGCTTTGCTTGTTGATTTGATTGATAATAGCCTCTCTATTTTAGCATCTGCTGTTTGTTTTTGGCCTTAGATTACTACAATAACATAGCGAAAAGAGAAAAAATCAGCTATATATGTGGAAAAATAACAGAAGAAAAGATAAGTTTTTCTTTGAGAAAGAAGCAGGGAAAAGATTTCCCTGATTTTATTGCCTGTGCAATAATTATGCTTATGTCTGACTATATATATATATGTGTGTGTGTGTGTGTGTGTGTGCTTGGGGGATAAGCAGTTATAAGCTACTGCTGATACTAAATTCACTAGGACCTAGCCTTCTTGAGCACTGGCTAATCTCCAATTTTCAGTACAACGAAAGGCACTTTTTGTGGGGTTTGTTTATTAGCCAGGTCCGGGCATATTGACTTGGTCTTTGCCTGTTGGAGTGAGATTTATATGTTGTTTGTTAATTTCCATTGGACAGATATGAAGGTCTGGAGGCCTTGATTCATCTTTTTGGATATCGTTGTCTTTCATATATATAAGTTTTATAATGAGGTTGTGGCTTGTTGTGGGTTGTGTTCTGTATGAATAGTGGTTTCGTCTGGTGAGTGCTTGTTTGATAGTTGAATGGCTTGAGAAGGGGAGATTACAGAGGAAAAAAAAATGGGCAAGATGAGAGAAATCCCACAATTGTGTGGCTTGGTGAGGGTTTCATAGATCAGCTGATGGTTATCTGATGATGTGGTGAAGGCGAAAGGGAGGGGATAGTCTTTTATAAATTATCCGAGTCATTTTTGCTGATCTGTTAATTGCATCTTGTAATTTCAAACATGTTGTTTAACCGGAAATCTTCTACATATGCATTACGAACTTCATGTTTTGTAATTTTAGGAAATAATGCAGTGGACTATTTCCCCCTTTATGTTGTGACAATGATACGATGTGATTGAAGTGATGTTAAACACGGCACCTTGTAGGTGTTTGATGGACAATCATGTGGACTCCCTGAACAATGCCTACGAAGAATTTGTTGCTGCAGCTGCCAATGTACTTGAAGCTAAGGAAAGTTCTGAGGGTCAAAAAACGGCAGCCACTGATGCAGCATTGGAAAATTTTAAACAGCGATGGGAATTGTTTAGAGTAGCTTGTGATCAAGCAGAGGAGTTTGTGGAGTCTGTGAAACAAAGAATAGGTTCTGAGTGTCTCGTAGATGAGGCCACTGGCTCGGTTGCAGGGAAGCCAGGGCAGGCTGCCACAAGTGGTCTTCCACCCATAAGTGCAGTTCGCCTGGAGCAGATGAGTAAAGCTGTTAGATGGCTAGTTATTGAACTGCAGCATGGTGGAACTGCTGGTGGTTCTTCACATTCCCATTCATCAGCTCCATTTGATGCAAGATTTTCTGAAGATGCAGCTCAATAGGTAAGCATGAGCTTTTTGTTGTTGAGTTGTTTATATTTGTGTAAACGAATTTACTTGTCATACAATGTGATCATGTTGAATTGCTGAGTAATTGTTGAGAAAATTTAGGTGAATATCAGTTGTCTTGTACCTCGGATGCTCTCATTGTCACACATGGCTGGCATATGTATTCTCCAAAATGAGGTCATTCAGATTGTTCGCTGATTTTTGTGCAGTAACATCTAGGAATTTTTTTTTTTTTTTTTTTTTAAAATGTGAGTTTCACATGCTGAGACTTATTTCTTTTAACACCATTTGAGCTTTAGTCAAGTGATGCATAATGACGTTTGGGTACCTTCAATATTAATATGTTCATCTCTAGTGTGCTTAAACATGTGCATTGGTTGGATGGGCAATCTGTGGTTTGATCTTTATTAGTTCTGTTGAAATTGTTTTATCGCTGCAGATTTGGAGCTCATCGTCTTTGCTTTTTCATTCGTGTCAAGGTTAAACTTTCATTCTTATGCATCAGATGTCCTGCCCAAGTATTCTTTAGTTATTAGAACATATTGTAGATTGGCCAAGTTTCTCTGCCTAAGAAGTTAAGTTGGTGATATAACTAAGTCACCCTACTATTCGCTTGAGAATGCTTGTTCATTAGCCTACATCCGTAAGAAGTTTCACTGGAATGATGGTTTTTGGTTTTGATTTCCAGGATATCCTGGAATACACAGAAAGTGTTTTATTAGGGCAAGCAATCATTTGTCAGGAAAATGTCACGCTATGCATTATCTCAGTACTCATCATCCGAATTCTTAATCTTTGCCACCGCACAAGCCCAAGATCTAATTCTGTTATGTGTAAAATGACTCATATTGAGTATTTTCATGAAATTTCCCACAGGAACACCTTTGAAACCATCATTTTTTTATACTCATCAATATCCTGTATTCAACTGGAAGTACACTTGCTTCCATGTGTTTCATGGGGAATTTTCTGCTTTCCTTGTAACTTTGTAACGCAGACTGGTAGGATGCATCTACCTTCAGTGCTTGTTAACGAGGAAAAGGCTTGGTAGTCCATCTTAATAGCTCTTCCTATGCAATTGGAAAAAGCTTAGAACTTTTAGTGTTTGCAGGAGACTTGCAAAGAACCAGAACTGATGGGCACAAGACTTCTCTCCCGATGGCCTAGGAAACTCGTAATGCTGGGGGGGGGGTGGATGGATGTTGGACTCTTCCCTCGAAGTAAACTGTAAAAGCAGCCTGTAAATCTCGGGTCTAAAAAGGTGAAACGATGCATTTATTCTCGTTCAACTTCAGTTTCCATCGGAGTGTTCCACTACCAGAAGGGACCTTAATCGGATCATCAAAAAGAACTACTGATAGTCGTGGATCAAATTAATGTGAAATAGCAGGTGCAGAGAATGTTAAAAGTTTTTGACTTGAGTTTTGCCCAAATGCGCGAGTTATTCGACTTGACACCTTATGCGAGTGATGTCAACAAATTTGACAAGTTCCTTTACACGACAGAGCGAGCGGGGGAGCGTACAAGTCACGCTTTCCCAATTTTCCATTTGTTTATGATACTACACCGTAGCATAGCCTATCTATCTGTCACCAAAATGTCACAGGTACAATTATTTAATTAATGACGGGCCTTCATTTTTATATTTTTTATGTACATATTTTTTAATTATTCTTTTAACTTGCATCTTAAACTATATTTTTTTTATAAAGTTTTTTTAAAAATAGTAGTCCAAATTGTCGTGCCCACGCATAACACGATGATCAACATGGGGCATCTTTCCCAGGTTGATTTAAAATCTGGTACTTTCGAGCCTCGTGAAAAACGCGTCTTGGGTGAGAATTGAGGCTCCTCGTGACGCAAATTGTACTTAAAAGAGTGCCAGTACTGCCTCTACCTCTGCCTCTGCAATTAAACGAAACAAATTTCCGCAACGAAGGAGAAAAATGAACACGTGCCAGGCTTCCTAATCAAGCACATGATTTTCCACGGTCACCACAGAAACACGTACTCGAGGCCCAGGCCAAAACATCTACGAAAAGAAAGTTACTGGTTCGCATAAGAAAAAAAGAAAAAGAAAAAGATGATAATGTTCTGTAAAATAAATTCCAAGAGGTATGGGGTGGGGGGATGGGGATGTCGGAGAGCTGCGTGTTTGTTGGTGTGTGTGACTGTATGTACGGGAACTTGTTACTTGTGGGTATGGGAATGGGAAGTACAGGAATCATCAGTAAGGCATGCAATCGCAATGACAGCTGCAGGTAAAGGCCAAGGGGCCCAACCCCACATATATCTTGCCCTTATCGTCCCCCGCCTTGCACTTTGCACTCATTTTTACACTCTCCCTGATTTTTCCCTCTTTTTCTTGTGGTTACTGACCTTACTCTTACGTCCTCCCCTGTTCTGTACCGCTGCTTATTCGGACAGACTCTTCAATTTTATTATCTGGGTTCCTTTTTTGTTTTCGTCAACATGTTGACTATGGTTTCAGTCCGGAATTTCTTATCTGGCAGCCATTCTAAGCTTAAGTTTGCTTTCTCACCAAAGATTCTAGACTTGGATCTTTTGAATGTGATTATGGTGCTTCATCAGATTCAATCAGTGTCAGAATTTCTCTTCTCTTCTCTTTTTCTTTTATCATGCCTTCTTTGTTATTTATTTTTTATATTTTCTACTTGTTAGTGCGTTAGATTTCAACTAATGACTGCTCGAAGATTGGTTTTTGATGTCATTATTGGTCTAAAAAATTATTTTTGTCTGCCTTTTTCATTGTTCACAGGATTTTGAAATATGGAAATGAAACACAGGAGCTTCTTAAATGGGCTTCCCGGGTGAGTGATTGAGGTTCAAGAATTTTACTCTTCCTTTTTTCTCAAATCCCTATTGTTGGTTTTATTTTCAAGTGCTTCTTAGGGGCATTTAGTTGGGTTGAGTTGTAACATGGATAAAAATTTTCTTCTATTGGAAAATTTCCATTCAAATATGTCTCCAGATCTTGGTTTTTTTTTTTCTGGGCTGATGCCTCTTTGTGTTCATGGTTTAAATGCACAAAGTAAGAACTTGCTAACCATTTGAACCATTGGACGCCACTACCTTATTTATAAGAGCTAAATATGGTGGAACACTCGCCTTCACTCGATAAACTTTTTGGAATCACTTTTTCTCCTCAAAATGACTTCTGTGCAAGAGCTTGTTTTACCTATATAATGGACTACGAGATAAGCTCCTGGATCTTCCACTTGTCTCATGTCATTAGTTTGGGCTATTTTCTCTTTATAGGTGTCATCACTGAATCTGTTCTGGGACTATAGCTACTTCTTAATCTGCTTCAGTCATTTTACGCAATAGGCCACATTTGTGATGCTGGGTTTGGCTTTCTTTACGTGGTGATGATTGTGACCTTGACCAAGGGATAGCTTTCCTTATAAACAATATTAGATGATTCCCAGTCAGAACATTCTAAAAAGTAGAATTTAAAGTTTATCCAGGAAAAAGGGTAATTTATTTTGCTGTGCTGTTAATCAAATTCAAGCATTTTTCAATCTTAGTCAATCTCAAATTGGAGATTACTTGGCCTTATGATTGGTAAATGCTTGATATTTCCTTACTTCAATAACTAACAATATGGATTCATGTTGTTGTTTGGGCTGATTGGTGTACAATACTTTTTCCATGTCCTCGGATGATCATTATTCTGTGGATATTCATTTGACTTTACTATTTATGTTCAGAGTGGAAATCTGGGTCTTCGTGTACTTTGGCTCATTCTGCATTTTGCCGTCACCATATGGTACTTTCTGCTGGGAGTAGTGCAGTCTTTTGAGAGCTTTCTCATTGCTTGTGATATATTGACGAAATATGAAGCCCTTGATATCAGCAAGGTTCGTTATTTGGCAATGGTAATAGACAGTGAAGAAGCTCAAGAACTTTCAAAAGTTTTCGAGTTATTGCAGTGGGTTGCAGATATTGGTGTGAAAAGTGTCTGCCTTTATGATCCAGAAGGTAAAAGGGATATCCAGAAAGTGAAAATGCTTTAGAATTTACTCAACATTTCCTTTGGTAAGTTTCACGTGACAGGCGTGATAGCATTTTCCTGTTGCAGGTGTGTTGAAAAAGAACAAGGAACCTATCACGCAAAGATTCAGCAGTGCAAACTTGTCTGAGGTATCATGATCTTCATCCACAATTAGCTAGATCCTTTTCTACAAGTATTCATGACAGTATATGTCATATGTCAAGCTTGTCAGTTCAATATTCCATTGTGATGCATATTTTAATGAAGTAATCAATTTTACATATCTATTTTGTGTCAAAGACATTAGGGGCAGTTTGTATGCATGACATAATATCTTATGTTTGGAATCTGCTGGTTCAGTGTGTTATTATGGTGAAAATGTAAATGAAGTTTTGATTTGCTGAGTTGTTGAGCCCAAGAGATGTGTCAAAGCCCTTTCTCTTGCTTATTGCCTGAGTGGTAATATTTTTTTCAAGATACATGGTCTCTGTAGCCAGTCCAATTATTTGGATTGAAGAGTGAAATATTAACTTGTAATGGTGGACTGAAGGATAACAAAGGTGTTAGGAAACATGAAAGGAAGTAACAGGAGATGATTATTTAAATGGAATAGCTGAGTAACGCCTTTCGAAGATGGCTTTAGTGGGGGAAAAAGTGTTGATATAGCCAATGTCATAGGTTGGATGCAAAGCTCTAGTTGAATTTTGATAAACTTGAAAGAAAGATGGTGCATAATAGATTTGGATTGTGATTTCTTGCAGGAGGCTGCTGTTAATGGTCGGCTTGTTACCCGCAGAAATCTGACTTTGGAGTTTGTTTCATTTGAGGATGGAAAAGAAGCAGTTGCCAAAGCAGCTAATTATCTCTTTGTAAAGCACTATGCAAATGGTACTAAGGAAAAGTCAGATTTTACAGAGCCTCAAATGGCTGAAGCTTTAGGAGCCATTGGTATCCTGTCTTGTCTCTTTTTGTCTTCCCAGATTTTGCGAACATTTGGCAGATATTTTTCTAGCATTGTCTGTGCAAGTTTATATTATTCTTGTTAGTATTGTCTTAACAGGTTCTGGAGGAGCTGAGCCTGATCTGCTACTAATTTATGGACCCACAAGATGCCATCTTGGGTTTCCCGCATGGAGACTTCGGTACACTGAAATAGTGTAAGTAAATTAGTGAAGTGCTATGATGTTATTTTTATAGGAGTAAATTCCTCATTGCTGCTGTTTTTGTCAATTCTTAAGGTGCCAAGAACTTTTCTCGGATATGCTTCAGTGGATTACTTAGTAATAGTCCCATCACAGTTGCATCTGTTTCTGCTTGAAATTGTGTAAATAGACTATTGTGATGTTCTGGCCCAGTCACTGTGGTTTTAGTTCATTGCTTTGCCTGCTTTTTGAAATATCTTAGGCATTGGTATCATTGAAATTCGGATTTCAGGTAGAATCCCTATAATAATTGATCTATCCTGCTTCTTCCCCCTCCCGAGAGAGAGAGAGTGTGCGCGCGCGCGCACGTGTACCAACTATTTTTTCCTGATACTGGCACAAAACGTTTTAACGCAACTTTTGTAAATCACGTTTGTTTTGCTATAAATATTGACTATTTGAGCGTGTCAAATGCCAATTTCAGTTCTTGCATCAGAATGGTTCGCTTGAATTATTTCTTGTTTGCTGTATGTTGCAGACATATGGGGCCATTGAAGTCTATGAGTTATGGTTCCCTTGTTAAAGCCATTTTCAAGTACACTATGGTTCATCAAAATTATGGTAAGGTTCTTTCTCTTGATCTCCCAAATGACCTTCCATCATAACGCATGCAAAAAAATAAACAAAAACAAGAGTCCTAAGTAGGATAAAATAGAAGACTTTTAAATACAGAAGGAAGTAATTAATTCCGTTAATCTATTCTCAGAAACAACTGATGCTCTGGTCGCTGTGCCTACATTTGGTCAAAAGTTTGAAACAAGTTTTCATTCAGGAATTTCCTATCAGATTAAACTGCTCGTCTGCATTGGCTCATTTAGAGTTTAGATCAAACCTTCCATCCCCCTCCTTTTGGGATCAGGGAAAAATATCATGTTATTCATCTCCATTTCCATCTTTTTACCTTATTTGGCGAGTTTAATCTAATGAAAAATGGTGAGTAGTTGCTCTTCATTGATAGGTGGAGGCTGTGGTTGGTTTTATCATGTCGAGTAATGTGCGGTCTAAGTTAATAATTTCTGTATTCTAAGGGCTGCAAACGAGCCGAGTCGAGTTGAGTTTTGGTCTAATCGAGCCGAGCCTCGACATAAATTCATTGAATTCGAACTCGAGCTCGAGCTCGACGAACTCACGATTTCAAGCTCGAGCTCGAAAAAAATAAAAAATAATTATTTTATTTTTTAAAAAATAAATAAAATAAATATTTTTTTTAATAAATAATAAAATATTAAGGATATATATGTAATTTTACTATTAAAATTAAAAAAATATAAAATATATATATACTTAAAATAAAAAAATAAAAAAAAAATATATACTTAAAATAAAAAAAAAAAATATATATATATATATATATATATATATATATATATATATATATATATATACTCGAACTTGCGAGCCTAACGAGCTTAATATTTTGAGCTCGAG